ATTTTCATGCCCCTCAAGGTGTCTCTCACATATAAGAATGCACACACACACACACACACACACACACACACACACACACACACACACACACACACACTCCTCATTTTACAAGTCCCACTCAGCAGTGTGTGAAAATAAAATCAGCGCCCTTGACAAAGACACCCCAGCGTTGCGAGTCGGCTTTGTTATTTCTTTCAAGTTTTCTGATTAGATTCTTCATTCATTGCTGCTTTATTGGGATGTCGCTGTTTGACATGTGGACTTTGTTATGAAAAACAGAATTCAAATTTCTTTGTCCTTTTAGTAGTTTATATAGTTAAAACAATTTTTGCCTTGTTTCTATATATGTAAATAAATGTTAAAAATTATTTCAGTCTACTGTCAGACTCCTCTGTTTAATAGTAGTTGTATAAGTAGTAGTATAGTAGTTGTACTTGTAGTATTACAAATAGCATTATTGGGTATCACGTTAAAAATTAGTTAGTTTGATGATTTTATAGATAATATTTTAATGCATTTCAAGTTATAGACCAAAACTAAGCTACAGGAAAAACATAAAATATGAAACAGTTTCACTGTTAATTCATGACACTGTGACCACTATAGTTTTTTTATTGTGTCACATTTTTATAATGCATGAATTTGTATTAACTGTGCTTCTGCTTCTAGCAGTATTTAGAACATATTTTGTCATAATTACTGTAATTTAAATATTTATTACATTTTCCTTCATGTTTTTACTGTTACTCAGAATTAGCCGGCAAACAGTTTGGTAAGATTAGTTGCGTTGCTATTTGTGAAGGAGACAGGGCTGCAGGCTCACTCACTCTTCCTCTCTTCCTCTGTCTCAGTGCTCTGACTTTGTTGTGTGCATAATAGTTACAACTAATGAATTGACCAGCCTTGGGGAGGTATATATAAACCTATTAACTTTAATAAAGTCTGAAGGTATAAAATGACTCTCTGAGGTATCTCACTATGCACTTAGTACTCTCCCCAACCTAATAATACCCACTTCTCTTCCAAGTACACTGTCGTGCTCTGTGATTGCATTCTGGAGTCTGTACAATTATTTTCAATTTAAAAGAAATTTTTTTGTCGTCTCCATGCAGCCTCTGAGAGAAACGAAGGCAGAAGAGATGAGGGAGCGTGAGAAACAAAACAAAGACAAGCAGATGGACAGTATGAGAGGACAGAGAAAGGTTGATGAACATGAACGTGGCAAACCAGAAAGACAGAGATGAGGAGACGTGACTTCCTTACAGTTAGCTGAGTATGTGTACGTGTGCTCATTTAGCTGCCTCCTAATCCCTGATTCAATTTCCAGCCTTTAAACATGACGAATTACATTCCTGTACTCACCTAATGCTTTTAACACATCCCTATAAGAGGCCTTAATCAGGTGAGATGGGCCCCAATACTGCTCGCCGTACACACACACACACACACACACACACACACAGACATGTAAAGTGTGACTGCACACACAAGAACACACACACACACTATCAAACACACACATATAGGCTGATTAGCCTAGCCATGGTGCTAGCCACCCTGGATAAGCCACCAGGTGGATAATGTGCTGCTTTAGCGCCTTAATTATGTCATAATCTGTTCAGCGCCTCAACCCCCTGCACAGAAGGACAGAGAGAGAGGGAGGAGAGGAGAAATGGGGGGAGAGAGGGGTGAGAGGTAAGGGGGACTGAAAGATGGGACAAGAGAAGAGCGGGGCAAGGAGAGAGGGAGCAGAGCTGTGAGAAGGAAAGAAACAGAAGCCCGGAGGCGCTCTGCTTCTTAACCTACACCTCCTTCCTTCTCATCTCATCTCTGAACACTCTGTGGTCCTTCTCTGATCCCCCTGCTCATTTCCTTCCTCCCTGCCTTCATCCTCTCCTTCTGTGCTTCTTTTCTTTCCCCCAGATACATTTCTTAACCTGTTTAACCTCAGCTCTAGTCTCCCTCTCCTTCTTTCCATGCATCTTGAAGCCCCTCCACCCGTACCCCCATTCTGCTTATCCCTGGCCGTTCTCCCTCCATCCACCTCTCTCCTTTAGTTGCTGTGGGTCTCAGTGTCTCGGGTGCTCCTGTACCCTGTACCTGTCACTGTGTGCGGCCCTTTGACAAATCACACGAAGGGCAGACTGAGTTTTGTAGGACGAGACAAAGCTTTAACATATGGCTACCGTGTCCCCAGGTGTGCCGTGGTGTGCTGTAGCAAGTCCGTGGGAGTCCACATATATAACATTAGCTACATCTCTGTCTGTCTGTTTCTGTGTGTCCACATATATCTGTAGATCTGCACGAGACCCATAATCTGACTGTGAGCCTCGTCCTACTGTTTGTCTCCAAACGTTTCTGCTGGCATTCTGATTTACTGACTTTTTCACTGCTTTGAAACTTTTAACTGTGGTAAATTCAAAGATTTATATACATTTATGGAAGTAATTATATTCTTTGATGTTTTCATTTGACTGCATGTGAGTCATGTAACATTTGAATTACACTTTGGCCTTCAACCTGGTTCTTCGAGGTGGTATGTGGTGTTGCCTTGAAAAAATATATATAGCAAAACAATAACAGCAACACACATACATATAACCCAGTATTAAAATGTTTGAATGATGCATCTGAGAACTTTGCTGAATTCTCTTTTAAGTTGACAACTTTTGCAAGAAACAGTTCTGATTGAAAATCTCTGCATCAAGCACATTTTCTCCATATTGTTCTCATCACTGCTTGCTAGATAATCTTTCGTTTCAAGCACACACACAAGCAATTCATATTGGTTTTTCCACTAATGAAGATGAAGTGAGATATGAGTGTTTTCTCACCACGCTCGATGCCAATTAAGTGCCCCATTTAATGCCAATTAGCCACTGAACCTCAGTTTGTGTCATGTTGTTTATTCTTTTGAGTATTTCTTTCTTCCCTTATTATCAGTCAACACAGATGAGGAGCTGTCTCCCCTTCAATCGACACTCCAACATATACTTTAAAGTGCCATGAATAGTAAAAATAGATCAACTTATTACATTTAATGTAAAAATTGTGGAACCTCATTACTGCTTGGCTGCCACTGGGTGAACGGCAACAGACCCCGTTCAAACATGCTCGGAGTGAGTATAATGAATTTTTAAACAGGTTAAAAATAGCTGGAATAAACCATATAGAAAATACTTTTTGAGTGTTGTTTTAAGACATGTAAGTAACCAGAAATCCAACAAGAATTCAAGCATTTCTAAAGTATCGTGCTTTGAAATCAACAATGCAGACACTGTGTTAATACAAATTATTTAATAAAGTGCAGCTACAGTAACAACAGGTTAGGGTTCATTTGTGGCTTTTGAATGACGGCGACAGCTGAGAGAACAAAAGGGGCTGAAAAGTGATGCCATAGCGGCCATGTTTCTGCTGGACAGATAATTATTGTTTTAGTTTTGTTTGGGGGACATTTGTTATTTTCCTGGAATCTGTAAGTAGTAGTCAGGCAGTGCACGTTGTCAGAATGAAAGGGTTGGATTATTTCTGTTGTCTGCTTTTAAAATCGAGCTTCCTCTTGCTGGTTCTTCCAGGATCACCAAACCTAACTTTAACAACAGAAGTTCCTGAATATCGTCATGTCTCCAGTTAGATATTTTTGTTGCTGTCTTCATTGCAGTTTTATTCACCATCCGATGTTTGTATTCTTCCGGTTTCCCAACGGTCACGTGATAGAACGTCATCAACACGCCCACTAATTCCGTGTAAATACTCCGGACTATACACTGCTGTTTTCTCACATGGGCTCACTCCAGCTCACTCAGACCTTATGCAGACTTTGTACTAGGGAGCTGGCAGGGTAAAGTCTGCTTAAGTTCCGGGTCGACTGACTTGGACATTTGTGTTCTCACATACAGCTCCCTCAGATAACGTCTAGAGAATTTCAGTGCTCCAGTGCATGTCTAAAAAGGCCTTCGTATGAATGTGATCCATAGTCTATCGCTGTGACTGTATAGTGACACACAAGATGAGTTAAATGTAGACTTTCACCCACATGACATGTCGTCATGACAAATATTTTATTAGCCAATAAATATTACTTTTGGCAATTTTGTTAAAATGAATCAGTCCATTTCAGACACTGTAATTTCATCTATATGTTTTGTAAATAATATTAAAAAACTGCTCTCACTAAGCTAAAGTGCACTTTCTTATGTTGACATTTTAGACCCAAGATTTTTAGACACGACAAACACTTCATAGCATTTTCCCCCATGTACTAACTGTACTGATAGCATATACTGTATATATTCTCCTTGATACTGTGCATAGTCATGATTCGGATTTATTTTGATTTGATTTGATTTGATTTATTTATTCTTTCAAGCATGTAAAGACAGTTGATATATCAACACACATAATTATACACATATCCAACAAATGCTAATCCAATATCAATTTGCTTATACCTAGTACATGCTTGAATGGAGTAGGAAGATAACTAAATGAATTTTATATTAACACCATTTCCTAATGTTATCATATGTGTAGGAATCCCCCCTCCCTGAGGTCAGATAGATAGATAGATAGATGGGGGACAGTTTTTAGTTTAATAACAAAAAGACAGGCAAATGCAGCAGCAGGAGGAAGAGAGAGAAGCACAACATTTGGGAATGTCCTACAAAGTTTTGAAGTTCTTTCCTTTTTCAAAGTTTACGTGTATTTGCTGGTGTGCAGAATAATTTTGGGCTTTGCTCGTCTCTGGGGCAATGGCCTCAGGGGCAGGCAGACCCCCATGGGGGACAGGTGTCAGGCAGGTGTGTACTCTGTGTGTGTGTGTGTGAGAGAGAACGTGTATATGTGTGTGTGTCAGTGAGTAATGGCACTATCAACTGGCCTCCACGATCCATCATGCCTAGCACCTCTAGGGCCACAGCGCACACATGCACACTTAAATGAGCGTACACACACACACACACACACACACACACATACACACATGCACACACACTCTTATAAATACACGCCTACACAAGCAGATGTACTTAAGCATGAAAACAGCACACACCAATCAGATGTTGCAGCACTTTCTCCTCTGCAAACACACACACAATCAAACATCACACACACTCTCTCTCGCACATTCATACTACCTATTTAAAACTGTTGTTAAATTACAGAGAGAAAGTTTCATGACTGTCTTTGAAAAGTTTGGTGTTTTTATATTTTCCGTGGCCATGCACACAGCTGCTGCAAAAACTGCATTTCCATCAGCAGAGGGCAAACATTTCACGAGGTCGTACAGATTTCAATCAGCCATCTCGGACACTTGCTGCTTCAAAGGAACTGCTACTAAAAAGTTAATTAAACACAAATCATAAATGCTGTCATATTGTTTGGCTTGTTTGAGTATGAAAAAAGGACATTTTAAATTCTCACTACCATACATCACCCTCTACTTCCTGCTATTTTGTCTCAGTTCATTTATTTTTCTCTTTTGTTTCCCGTCATTGCTTTTCTTTTTCTTTTTGTCCTGCCAATTCTTCCTTCATGTAGCAGAAAATCTTTCTGAACAATTCGCTCTGTTCAGTTATTATCTCAACGGGGGAGGGTGGTATTATAATTAACAAAACAATAAAAGTTTATTAATGAACATTAAAATGCAAAGTAGCAGGAAGAGAAGACGGTGGGTGCTATCAATCAAAAAGGAGCAACTCCCCCACTTTTTGGAGTCTTAATTAGCCGTCCGCTCATTAATAGGGCGAGTGTGTTTGTGTGTGGGTGCAGAGGAGGTTACGAAAGGACTTTAACTGATCACTGGCCTCTGAATAGGCTATCAGCAAGATGGAGACAAAAAAAAGTAATTTATGGAACAGTGTCAGTTTTATTTCCACACCAACTAATTATGAACGCCAAGGAGTGTGGATTTTACTTGAGTGAAGGCCTCATCTAATCAGCAGCGTGAACACAACAATACTGCAAATAACCGGAGAACAGAGATGCTTTACACTGAAGTTCAACAAACTGAAATGATAGGCAAACATGGTTTCAGACTTGTGACTCTCATGTATACATGCTTGAGCCACAGTGATAATTTTCCATGAACATGAGACTTGTTGACCGTTTTAACCCGTACCGTAATTTCTTAACACTTACCCAAATTCTGAAGGTATTTTTTGAATCCTTATAGACTCTTCTAATGATGTGGAATTAAAAATAATCCGGTCCCATCCAGGAAAAATATAAATTTAGTTTGTTTTTCAGGTGAAAAAATAAGGATGGCAAGAGGAAATGATGTCGTCTCTCTTGCTTTTTTGTGAAAGTCAAACTGCTTTCTCACAAAGCCAAAGTGATGACATCATTTCCTGTCACAATCCTTTTTTAAATGACATGAATGGACATAACAGAGAAACTGATTAAAATCTGATTAAAATTTTCCTGGATCCAATTGGATTATTTTTGACTTCAGAATTTGGGTGAGTGTTGTGAAAGGGTTAAGGGCTAAAACAGTCAACAAGCTTCAATTTTGCACATTCATGGAAGATTACCTCTGTAACTTGAAAGTATATAATACAAGAGAGTCACAAGATAGGGATGATTTTCACCATGGTAAACTAGGGGAAATGGCTGATAATTTGTCTGTGTACTCAGTAGGATCTCACATGTTCAACCATTATATGCATCACACATCCATATGTATGCTATGGCTGCGTTGGCTTTCTGAAACTGACCATCTGACAAGCTACTTTTTACTGTGTATTACTTCTGTCACTCTTTGTGTGTACATCCAAGTGCAAGTCTATGACGGACTTTGAGTAGAGATTTTTCTAAAGCGTGTGCTGTTATCCCCACTAAAAGTATTATTCTGTCTTCCCTTTTCCAGGCCTGCTTACCCTGCCTTCAAGTCTAACATTTAAAACAGCTTTAAAACTTTTCAGGCGTAGTCAGATGACACATAAAAATTTTGAACACACTGATACTTAGATTACATTTTGATATACTGAGACTTTTGTAAAAATCTGGTGAAATTTTGAAAAGTGAAAACCTCACTAACTTTCCTTTTAACATTAAACTTTACAGTAGGTGTCGCAGTCAGCTTCCAAAATCCTTTTGGTTTGTTCAGCTACCATAATTTGTCATCTCTGTACACATCCAGCAGGACTGTACTGGATCTTGACATGGCTGTTCTTATATCCGATTTACAGCAGTCAGTAAAAAGAAGCTGCGAAGAGAGAGAGAGAGAGAGAGAGAGAGAGAGAGAGGTGTGACATGAGTTCAGAATATGACTTAAACATCCTGCACCTTAAACCAGTGAGACACAAGGATGATGAAGCTATATTTAACAGTAAACTTTGAACCAATCAGAAGCTGCCTCCCTTCTTCCTCCTATACCTGTCACATGCATACACACACACACATTCACACACCGCTACACCCACTCATACACACCAGAACACATATACAGCACAGCTCCATTTATAATAGTTGGCATGACCCTGTGGCCCCTCTCAGGGAGGAACTAAGAGAGTTCAAATCGTGGCCTAATTACGCCCTGCTCCGCTTCGCTCCCTCCGCCCTGTGCTCTCAGAAAGCAGAGCGCATGTGCGCAGCACACACATAACAGCACCCACACGCACACATGCTCTGCTTTCAGAACAGACGGCCTGCTTCAGAATTCACTCCCCTGCTTCTATCAAACACACACATTCCCATGGTCAACCTACATTTTTCTCTCCGTGAGACCCACTATACTGGGAGTTCATGACGTTCAGAGCTGAAGAAAATACTGTAGGTTATATCGAACATAATGTGTAAAACAACAACAAACATTAATGAAAAATTATTTTAAAACACTGTCTGGTTTAATCTGCCTTTTCTAACAGTCCAAACTGCAGGAAGCTGAGATGATCAACTATTGTAAATAATATTTAGACATTAGAAAAACAAATGTACAGTGTACAAGAAAAATCCCACATGCTGTACTGTACTGTGTGTTTGTGTGAAAAGATCTTTAACAACATGGCCAAGTTAAAGACCTGAAAGACTGGCCAGGTTTTTTAGATGTAGATGTAGCAAATTGCTGTTTGGAGAGGCAGCACCACATTCACATATTGACCATCACATATCGCATCATTTTGACCTCACACAGAAAGTGACCAGAATTTTCGACAACATCAAAAAGGTGGAGTCCCTCTGTACAAATGTACAGGCTAATTGTGCAGTTGCTACTACAAACATTGACTGTGTTTTTGTAACACAAGCACCTCTTACAGTATCCAGTTTTACAAGCTATATATACTTTTATAGTCATTATTTATAGTTCAGTTGAAAAAAGACAACTGAAACGCCCCATCCCATAATAAACATTTCATGCAGGCCTTTTCTTCACTTTACCCTCTGTATAAAACCCACACAGTGATCCTTTTTTGACTATTAACAAGTGTTACTGGTTAATTGTGAATGTCTGCAGATGCATAGTGTGTTACTTTTTGGACTGTGTTTAGGATTTACAATATCCCAAACATGCCCCCCATGCACACAGAATTCTAAACACTGGGCCCAGCAGTTATACTTCATGACTTCCCACCAGGCAGCTTCATGAATTCAGGTTTAAATTTGTTTAAAATGGGTTGGAAAAAAATGAAAGTATTTCCAATAACTACCAAGTTCACTGATAAAAAGGTTTTATCACTAGAGGCAGTGGGCCCAAGGTATTTCCAGTGTCTCCTGACAGTTTAATGACAATCTACATTTTCTAGGAGACAGAAACTAAATCCAGGTTCTGACTTAAGCTCTTAACCATCAAAATATAGTTGAAGGAATAAGAAACTGGAATTACTAGAGGCGTAAAAGGCCACTGTCACAGGTTTCTTTGGTTTAGATCACCCATCTGTTTAGGATGGGCAAACTTAAAGTTGTGAGATTTACATGCTCCCTATTAAACCCACCCACACCACACATTTGTTTTCATTCCTCGTGGGGACTACATTGACTTACATTTATTTTCTGGGGACTTATGCTAATGCTAACCACATCCACTGCTTGTCTACACTCAATGAACCTCAGGCACACTACTGACAATGTGTCCCCCAAATTCAAAACGCAATTGTGGAGCTCAACACCCGAACTCACCCGACCAACTAAATGTCCAAAAATTAAAATATTACAAATAATACAAAATCACTCACAAACCTAACAGAATTGAAAGAGCATCCCATCTGAGGAATTTAGCAAGTAAAATCACCACTCCATTTCATTCCTAATAGTTATTGTTAATTTTATAAATTCTGGACTTTATAAAAATCACAAATTCATATCTTGGGAACTATGCCACATAAAGGCACAACGTTTTACAGGTGAATAACACCCTTTGGTTCGCACCCACCCACCAAATTTCAGCTTCCTGCCACCTCCCTATCTAAAACACTTAAATTCTACCTGACCCAGGTCCATTGCAAATCCATTTATCACTACTTCCTAATCTCAGCTGCAAAGATCTCTTGCCTAACCATTACCATCTCATACCTTTAGTCTAAACTTATCCCCTTCTGCCCCCTCTTAATTTTAATCATCTGAAGATATCTGCATAAACCTAACCACCCAGGACCCTTACCTGAACATGACCTATAGAGAGCCACCTAACCTTAACCACCCCAGAATTCTTGCCTAAACTTAACCAACTAAGGAGAGGTGCCTAACCTTACCCATTAATGATTGATGCCTAACCTTAACCATAAAGGTCACTGCTTAAACCTATCCATCTTGGGATTCTCTATCCCTGAAACTAATGGGATATGTGCAAAAAAAGTTATCAAATCTTGAGCCATGTTACTAAACCATATGACACAAATCAAGATAGAAGTAGTTCACCCCCCCCCCAGGTTGTTCTGTGACATCTTGCATTTCTCTTCATGTTTCACTTGGTTCAAACAAAGATTTAGGTAACATAAAATCATAAGAGGGGGAAAGAGAGAGAGGCAGTTGAAAACAGGCAGCTAAGATAATGCAGTTAATGTGAATAGTGTGTGTGTGTGTGTGTGAGGCTGGGTGGGTGTAGTATGTGGGGGTCTTTGCAAGAGAGAGGCAGAGAGATTTGAATTGGCCCAGCGGAGACACAGCAGCTCGACGGATCTATTCTATTTTTGCCTTTTTTCTCTGGCCAGACCCACAGGCTTTTCCCACAGAGCTGCCACAGTACATACAGCACCGCCTTCTCTGTACATGTGTCTGTGCCTGTGCACATTCATGCACATGTGAGTGTGTATGCGCATGACTTTGACCTCTCCTTGAGAAGATGTGGCTTCCACTGTAACTGCCAGGAATGAAAGAAACAGAGAGAAAGAGAGTGAAAAAGAAATGGCAGAACAATGAACAGAAAGAAAAAAATGTTAGTAGCGCACATTTTTTTTCATGATGCTCTTATTCATCATTTTCTCCTGTTAAAGATGTAATATCAGGCCTTTTTTTTACATTCTAAGAAGGATCTATAAACAAATCATTAAAAAAGCCTCCAGAGCTGGAGGTGCGAGTCACAAAAACTACACCACAAGTGAGTGGCCTCACACTTAGCACTAACAAAGATGCAATCAAGGGGGTTTTACACTGAAAAGAGCATCATATTTTGCTCAGTTTACAGGATCTATAAACAAACTCTACAATCACTTAGTCTTTGTAGGTAACACAGTGTTCGTTCTTTCTATGTGACACCAATCAAGTTTTTTAAATTACAAGACACCTCAAGTTGAAGAGAAGTATTTCCTAAAGAGTAAACTTTAAGTTACCAAGAAAATTTCTCAACTTTGGAAAAAAAAGCCTAGATGAATGTTACAACAGACTTTATCTACTGCCCTCAGTCTAAGATAACACACATGCTGTGCGACTATGATAACGATATATCTGTTTCTACATATTATAATTAGCCACTAAACCTGGGAAAATGGAACTAGGAATAATTGTTGAGTAAAGGGCAATGCATACAGCCAGTATATGATGTGTGCCAAAACCAAGCGGCAACCTCCGAAACTGAAAAATGAAGCCAGTGCAGAAGTACCAAAACCTGCACTTTCTCGAATGGCCACATGAGGAAGTCAATCGCCATACTGTAGACTCCCATGTTAAAATGCCCAACTTTTTTACACCAGAAATAAACATGTTTACGGCCTGGTACAAGAAACAGTTTTGGTCTCTATAGCCAATTTCCCATTCAATTGACAACTGTGTGGAGGGTGAAGTTTTATATAACTCACCTGCTCAGATTATACTGATGCTAAAAGTTACACATAATTGACAGCATGGTGGAAGGGTCCCGCCACTGGTGGCTAGCTACTACCTCTCTCCGCTCATGCTCCACCTCTTTGCTCATTTTTGGATTAACTGTAGCAGATGGAGTGAAGCACTACTAAAATGGTGACATCCAGACTTGAGCTTCAAAGGCGCTCTTCAGAAAATTAATGGCTGACATCAAAAAATAACTGATCCTATTCTTTAACATTTAAACTCTTTGTTTGAGGAGATGAATCCTAGCTACATTACTTCAGTTTCTTTCCTTGGATTCTTAACAACTTTCAGATTTTCCCTTCACTTCCCCTTATCACTGTAGAGTTAATAAGAGCTTGTACTGTAATATGTCCTTGTCTCGTTTCACTGCTGCACTCTGCTTGACTACATGGTAATGTAATTGTTTCAGTGGCATTTGCGTGCAAGCAACACATGCTGTAAATACAAACCCTTGTGTACACAAACACACAGTCACACCAGTCAGTTTGAGGAGAATCTGACAGGACAGACGAATATGATTTGATTCTCTTTACAAGCTCGCCTGTGACGCCACCGACGACTGCACGCGGAGCTGATGTTATGGCACATAACTGTTCCTTTGCTCTGTGTTGACATCTCTCTTTAATGACCATAGATTGAGATTATTCAGTGGAAGAGGAGCAGAGGAAGGGGAGAGAGGTGAAAGGGGGTAAGGAGAAGCAGAGGAAAGAGAGGGGAAGAAATAAAAGGAGGGAAGAGGAGAAAAAAGAGGTCAGGAGGAGAGGAGAGAGAGAGAGGAGAGGAACAAGAGATCTGAAGGAGGGGGGCAGTGATAGAAGGTGATACCACATGCATTCCTAGTGCTTGTGCACATATGAACAGTAAATGTCACTGTATGTGTGTGCTTCTGTGTCTGTTGACTTACTGACTGCCAGTTGACGTAAACACAAGGACAATGAATTCAAACTTTCTTGGATTAAAGGTAGGGTTGGTGGTTCTGGAACAACCAGCAAGAGGAAGCTCAATTTTGAAAGCAGACAAACAAAGAAATCCCACCCTTTCATTCTGACTTCTTTCCAAAGCCACTCCTCCAAAACACAACACACTGCAATGTGCACTGCCTGACTGCTACTTACAGATTCCAGGAAAATAACAAATGCCCCCTAAACAAAACTAAACTGATAATCACCTGTCCAGTAGAAACATGGTTCATGGCTAAACCACTTTAGCCCTGGGTCGTAGCTGGGAACTAGCCTTAGAAGTCCAGGCTTTTCTGGCAGGGAGAAGTGAAGAGGAAGGCTGGTTAACTCTGCCTGCAACTGCAATGGCTTGTGGGAGACTCTTGGCTCACGCATTGAATGCAGGAACAGGGTCCGTGCAAGTAGGAAGTTAGGTTGACAGGCAGGTAGGTCATCCAGAGGTTTTGCTTGGGACAAGTAATATTATCGTTCAGGCTTTTTTCAGCCCTGCTGCTGCCACAGATGACAGATCTTTTTCTGTACATTGTTTTGTTTCTAAAAAGAATCACCCACCCTAACTTTAATGTTTAAAGGATAAATGAATAACTCTTCACACCAGACATACAGTAAATAGCACTCTACTGGGCAGACTTTTTTTAAGTTGCTGGGGGTAACTGTTTGTATGAGTGTGTCTCAACCCCCACGAGCCAGTGCTAGCATGTCAGTGTGTGTGTGCACACCCCATCCCCAAGAGAATTTTCTCTTGTTGAAAATCACCTGTCTATCTCTGCAGCAGGCTGCCAATATTTCAGTCTGCTTTGTTATTAATTATTTATTTTATATGCCCTGTGTGTGTGTGCGTGTGCACGCACATTGGAGGAAGGTCTCATCTCATTCAGGTATCAATGAGGTTCAACTTTGAAGCCCTCAACATGCCTGCAGTATACCTGGCTGAAGCAAAGCAAGGTGTAATAGAACTCAATTCACTGGGAAGCAGCGCTGAGAATAGATCACTCATTACGTATCCGGAGACCGGGGGGCACCACCCACACACACACACACACACACACACACACACACACACACACACACAGCTGGCTGCAGGTGGCCGCTGGCCTTCTTCGTGTCTGCCTTTGTTGTGAATCATGGCTGCAGATGCTTTTTCCTTTGGCAGTGTGTGGTACAATAAGAGCAACATGACACTAACACTGCTGGGCTGAGCAGTAGCACCACCTGTGGTAGTTCTGTCACTTTTTTATGTTCAAAGTTGCACTTATTGTATTGATCTTTAAATAAAAGCATCTGAATGTAATGTAATGTGTAAACCATTACAGTATTTTGGTTTTTACTGACTCTTTGCATAAAATAGCCAAATGACATCAGTGTTGTTTCACAAAAAGGCCTTTGTCAGTGAAGCTATCACACAGCATGTGTAAATAACAAAATAATTTATGGCTGAATTCTGTTTAGCTGCTGTCCTGGCATTGTGCACCCTGGCTTGCTGTCACACTGTCAGGGCTTACTAGGCTTGAATAGAACAGAGTCAGATTAGTAGTTTGACCTGAGCCTTTCCCACCATGACAGAAAAGCATGTTTTCTCAGTGGCTGCAGGGACGTTCCTTGTGGCCACAGGTTACAACATGCTAAATTAAGTTACTTACTTCCTCTTAATTGAATTAATAAAAACATACAGGAACTATCGGTAGTTTTGCAGAATGTGTTTAAAGGAATGTACAGGCACCTACACCTCTGTGGTTCAACCTTCACAGCTGTTTTTACTTATTTTGACTGAAGTTACTTTGTCTGAGTGCCACAGTCATGTATAGACTGTGGCTGACACCTGTCTGACCCTCCTGTTACTGTAGTTTTGTTGCATCTGTTAGGTTAGGAGGTGATGTACATCTTCATATACTTTCATTGGCTCATGATGCTTTGTGACTTTAAATAAATCCAGCAGAGCTCTGAAATAACTACATGTTGATACTGTACCTGGTAGATATGGTCACAGTCCCACACTGGTATCGAGAAATTTGTCCATTGCGATATTGCAAAATGAACTATCATTATCCCTATTAACAATGCAAACTGAATGTAAGATTTAGCAGGAGCTGGACAGATGGAATGAGAAAAGCTTGGTCTCACAAAAGTAGCAGTGTCTTCTTATGTGTGCGTATGTGACATTTGCTGAAAACAGAACATCTCTGATCTCATCTGCCACAAAAGTAACAAGGGTCTGTGTGTGAGGTTGTGTGTATGTGCATATGTGCAGTAACAGGGGCTGCATCACACTGCTGATGACCTGTCTAGTCCAGTCAGATCCCATTGGGTGTGTGCGTGGACGGGAAGAGTGAGTCTTAAAATGTCACCTGATGCTCTTCCTGGAAGCTGCATCTTTGACCCGATGGTAACCTCAGCACACACTCAAAAACACACAGGCATATTAAAGATTTTCTTGCTTTCCCTTTTCAGACAAATGCTGTGAACAAATAACAACAGAGATTTCAAACAACAACTCTGAAAACAGCACATAGGCACTTAAAACACACGGCCTCTGTCATGTTAATGTTAACATTAAGAACATGTTTGAACTCTCTTACCAGAAGGCTCGGAGCAGCCTGACAGCCAACACACACACACACACACACACACACATGTGAAACCCCCTAAATAAAAGAGTGATACCTAAATAAAATTGCCTGAAATTACTGGAGGAAAGTTGTGATTTACATGAGAAAATCCTAAAAATACCACAGATTAAGTAAAACTACCTTAGATCTCTCAGTGAGCAGTCACTGCTAGCCTTCACTACTTGACTTTCTGATAATCAGTGTTAAGGACATACATTTTCAAAATATTCTTCATGAATGAAAGGAGAAGCCAACTTTAATGTTCCTCTCTCTTTCTGAGATATTAATACAACTAAAAGCCCACCCCCCCGATGCGAGCCATAATGGCAGCACCCGGGAG